GGAAGAAACACACCATCCATCAGATGAACAGAAACCAGGGCACAAATAATTGAGAAGCCAAGAAAATATCTCCCCTCCATGGGAAAAGAATAACTCGTCATCCTCCACAGAAAGTACAATGGAACTTATGGAAACATTAGATAAAGATTTAGAATATTCACAGTGACAAAGCTAATAGAGATGTAAGAGGAGAGAAACAATAAACTCCCGAAGATGCAGGAGAAAAGGGACAATGAGGTCCAGGAGGTGAGGAAGGTCTTGCACGATCTGAAACAGGAAACACACATCATAAAAAAGAATCAAAAGAAACTGTTAGAGATGAAGGTTGTAATACAGGAAATCAAAACTTCCCTTCAAAGTATTAAAAGCATATTGGATCACACGGAAGATCAAATCTCAGAAGTAGAAGATAGAACTTCTGATGTAGAAAAATCCACCAAAAAGAGAATAACCCCCCAAAATGAGAATAACATACTAGTAATACTAGATATCATTAAACACTCAAACATCCAGCTCCTTGGTATCCCAGAAGGTGAAGAAACTTCTAAGGGCATTGACAATCTATTCCATGAAATCCTAGAAGAAAAATGTCCAAACCTACAGAGGCATTCAAATATCCACACCCAAGAAATACACAGGACCTCATATAGACCCAACTCAAGAAGATCTTCCCCAAGGCACATCATAGCCAGATTGACCAAAACCATGGACAGAGACAAGATACTAAAATTGGCAAGAGAGAAACATCAAGTTACTTTCAAAGGGTATCCCGTCAGGCTAACGTTGGACTTCTCTTTGGAAACAAGGCAAGCAAGGAAAGAATGGGAAAATGGAGGAGTCCGACCCGGTGAGGCCCCAGGATCTGTCTGAGCCCCCAGACCTTTGAGCTCCGCTTCCGGTCGGATCAACACGTTGGCAAGGCTACTGTTGTGCACCCCCCGACCTTGGAACAAAGCTTGGGTCAGTTAGCATGTCAGCAAGGCTGCTTGCTATTTGCTCCAGAGAATTGAGGCAGCCTCAGTGGGAAGCGACCCCCCTCTGACTCCCCAATTTACTACTATGAAAGAATTGCATAGCTCTCCTATACATCCTGAGTATATGATAAAATCTTCCAGGAAGTCCCCCAATCGACAGCTCCCTTTTGCTCTGATCACTTACTATTAATTACAATGCTTTATCTCCATGGTCACAATAGAGGGTGGGCTGAAGTTCTTTCTAGGCAGAAGTAATCTTGACCTTTGGAAGGCCCTTAAATTCTTCCTTCCTTTATGTAAAATAGGATTAGGCCAAAACTGGCCCAGGACACCTCTGCCCTCTCCAAGTGAAATAGATAAATA